ATGGAAATATGGATATAATTTAATACTTACTATAATTTCTTTTTTATGCTGTCATCAGCAAACGCGACAGAATAAACTTGATTTGAATATTAAAATAATACACAAAAATAAATAAATAAGGTAAGTTTAAATTCAACTTCAATAGCCTATTACTCTTCAAAATTTGATTACAATGAAAATAATGTTTTTGATCAAACAAAAATAAAGTGATATACGAGGGTTGTCCGTAAAGTTCGTGGACAAGCTAAAATTTAAAAAAAAAAGTTGCGTCATAGATATTTATTATTAGCATATTTATAATCCTTTACTATATGTGAATTAAAAAATGAAAAAAATTATTCAATTTTATGTGTATAATTACAATTATGACTTCATTATTAGACTCTGGATGGTGACCCGGAGCACAACAAAGTTTTAATTAAAAAGTTTTTTATCACTTTATACATGAAATATATGGAGATAACGAACAGTATTCATGCTCAAAAGTCCATTAAACAATACAAAATAGGAGCAGAGCAAACACGGACCTCTAAACATCAGAGGTGGGATCAGGTGCCATGGAGGAGTGAGCATCCCCTGCCGACCGGTCACACCCGCCGTGTGCTCCTTGTCATGATCGGGAAATAACGGAAAAATCCGTCGACAATTCAGTGTGTAAATAATGGCCTAACAATTAGTATGAAAAAACGTCAGTCAGCATTTGACTCAATGAATTTCATTTGTATTTTGTAAAATTCCGCGGAAATTTGGATGGCTTTTACATTATAAGGTTGACAAAAGTTATAAAGTCAAACCTGTAAAATTTGAACGTTCAAAGTTTCGAAATGGCAGAGAAATCGAGGTCAGAGTTTATTAAGACAGGATCATCATTGTTCGAAAAAGGGACGTTTTCGGAAAAGGTGGAGCAGAGAGTAGTGATAAAATTTTGTGTAGACATCGGAAGAACACCAACAGAGACCCATAGTTTCCTTAATCAGTCGGGAAATCATAGTAAAGCAATCTATTCTTTAGTGTTTAAGTGGCACAGAAGATTTCTGGACCGAAGAGACAGTTTACTGGATGACATGCGTGAAGGAAAACCATCTTTCCGAGATTGTAGTGCTGTAAAAAATGAAGTTCGTAACGTGACTTTGCCGTATTTCCGTACATAATGTCGATTAACGCGGACAGAGGTTTGATGATTTGCAGGATCTGAGACAGGAAGTGTTAAATATTATTTCACGTATGAAACCAAAACAGTTTGTGCACATTTTTGATGACTGGTTGAAGCGACATAAGAAATATGTTGAGTTAAACGGTGACTACGTTGAGAAAACTTGAATGTATTTAGCTTTTGACGTCGAGTAACGTCAAGGATTTTCGTTTTAGTGCTCCGGGTATAAGTGTGTATCTTTTTTGTATCTGATAAAATATAACTATTTATGCTTTGTTTGTGATTAAAACTTGCATATTAACAAACTGAAACATGAATTTATTGAAAATAATAGTTTCATATATTTTATCAATGTTTGTCAGTAATTATCAATGTTGTCCACGAACTTTACGGACAACCCTCGTAAGTTACAAACTATAAAATCAAAAAAGGAACAATGTTACACCAGTTATGCTTTCACTGTCTCTTTCACAAACTGTCGACATGCCGGAAACTTCTTCATGGCTTGAGCACAGTCTGGACAACAGCAGAGATGACCACTGCATAACATGGCGATAGAAGTCTCATTCTCAAGGCATATTTTACAAAGTCGCAGATCATTAAGTGTTTTGATTTCTTCTGTGGGTGACATTGCCTCTTAATGACATACGGAGATAATGAACATTAATCAAGAACAAAACTCCATTGAAACAATACAAATCGAATCAATGCAAACACTGACCTCTAAAAAAATTCAGAGGTGGGATCACATGCCATGGAGGAGTAAGCATCCCCTGTCGACCTGTCACCCCCACTGAGTGCTCCTTGTCATGATCGGGAAAATGGGAAAAATCCGTAGGCAATCGTAATGAATACAATTGTAGGAATTTTGTGCGTATTTTTATATATGAAAGTTACCTGAAGAGATTTAATACAATACTTTTAACATTTTGTGTTATTAGATTATGATACATGTAGGTGATCAGCACATTTAACTGACATGGACACTTATGTTTTGTTAACACTGTTAAGATCTTTTTACTTACGCTTGTCCAAATCTACAAAATGTAGCTTTGCTTTTTGCATTCGATTTGCAATTGCATCATTTCTTTAATCTTTTTTTTTTCCTATTTCGTTAAACATATCAGAGATAACCACAGGGTAACATTGCGATTGAAGCCTCGTTCTGAAAGCATGATTGTACTAAAAACATGACTAGATAAATGGCGATAAAAAGATTATACTTTTTGTACATTGAACGATGAATTGTACCGTGGAGGAGCGCTAGCAATTCTTTTCGAGAGCTTTTTCCAGTTTAAAATACAATCAAATTATAGTACATAGCACTTTGTACTATGCCCTTTTACAAACGTACAGATAGAGAGAGATGTTCCATACACAAAAGAACACTTATTGAGCCAAGAAAGATATATATTCATATTGCAATAAATAAAATATGACAACTTCATTTTTGGTCAAATTAGACCAAAAAATTATTCAGCTAAAGGTGTCCTTCCAGAAAAGGAAACGGACCTGACTTCTAACAGATAAGCATTACTATTCTCGTAATAATTGATCATTTTTAAACATAACTAATAGCTTTCCTAATCATTAATTCTAATATATTACTTTAAATTGAAGTTTAACGTAGATACTTCACACTTTTACTTTTAAATTCTTTGTTTATACACAGGTATATATAAGTTGATACCTGATCCAGACATATTTAAGTAGTTGTGACAATTCTTACTTCTCTTTGTTATTTGCATTAAACAGAGTACGCAGCTATGTTAAGGTTGTTCAAAGGCTTAATATGCATAAGAAAAAAATTTTTTTTTTATTTCGAGCTAGGTTTTGATTTCAATTTGTAAACCATGTATACATGTACAACCAATATACAAAGAGGGTTTTATCAGATATTATAATGAAGCATATTTGTAATGTCACATGACTTTGTTGATCACGTGACGGACACTTATAATTTTTCAGAAAATTTTGTCAAAAAATATCGCATGTTACCCTGCGTTTCTTATTTCTTTCAGTATATATACATGGTTTATAAATTCTTACTCTTTGTACGGACGTGTAACGGGGAACATTTTACATTCTATTTTTTGTTATTGTTTGAAACGTTGTATATATATATATATATATATATATATATATATATATATATATATATATATATATATATATATATATATATATATCAGACAGGAGAAAGGAATATCGATATTATATCACAATAAATCTTAAAACAACAATCCAGACGTCTTAATTCAACATCAACGTAAAATATTTCTACATGTCATATGAAAAGAATGTAAAAATTATGACACTTCCCCCGTCATGTCAGCTCAGGTTTGCAGTGACTTAATCTAGGTAGTTCAGAGAAGTTACTACAGCTGGAACACTGTGATATTTTACGGACAGCTTTATCATAACCGCGTGCTTCATATTTATTTTTACTTTAGACAAGCACCACAGTGGGTTTTTTTCTTCGCCCAAAAGTAAATTGAGTAAATTAAGCACTAAAGAAAAACAGGAAAATTCACTACATTTTTAAAACAATTCCTTATAGGAAACTTGATACAGAGGCAATGTGGAAGAAAGGAGAAATGATAATGATAGTGAAAACATATAATAAAGATTTGTAAACAATATGGTTTTACACATTTTTATTTTAACATTCGATTTTGGTGGTCATTATAACTAAATGCCATTCAACATCGGAAAGGATTTTTAATGCCGTTGTGAAATTTTCTTGTCGTCTATAGACACATATAGTCGTTGGCTTTAAAAAATGTACATGTACATATGTTCATGACAATATGTGTCAACTCTCACTGCACATATTGTCGACCCACCTTTAGGGCTTCCATATGGGTGATGATGACGATGCTATTAAATTTCATATCTACAGTTTCCATGACATTGCATGTTCATAAAGAGACAAATCAATGCCAAACTGTATGCACAACTTTCATAAAAAAAACTTGATATGAATAAGGTGAATGGTGCAAATAGCATGATTAAATAAATTCATAGATAAGACAAAACTTCTCTCTTACTCTCTCTTCTTCTTTGACTTTCAGCGTCTCTTTCTCACTGTCTCTCTCTCTCTACGACCTCAGTAATTTATTCTTCAAAACAATATAAATGGCGATGAAATGTGCAATTTTTTGCAATTCAAAGCGACTCCAACAATACTGTGCCAGTGTGTGAGATACATTTTGTCGCCCGGGAAAAAGGCTTGTCTCGGTACATATTGTAGCCGGTGTCAATATGTACCAATATACGACAATTTGTGCGGTGAGGGCCGGTACGTATTGTCGCCGGCGCCAATAAGTATATGGCCAAAACTGTTTGTTTTTTTCTAATTAATATTAGTTGGATTGTAAGTCATCTTTTATTATACAGCCGACTTAGCCGACTTCTGTCAATTTAAAGTCCTTATCAAAAATTCAGTTTTCTCGGATGCGTAGCAAATGATGTAAATTTTAAAAAATGCCAATCGCACTTTCGCGACCACTTCAAGGAAATAGACGATCATCAAATTACATTTATTATGACCGATCAATACTTTACCGGCGAGGTATTATATAATACACTCTATCACCTGTTTTCCTTGAACCGATTGCATGACTTGTCTGGACTATTTTCAATTCATCCGATATATTTTCACTGTTTTTCTTAAAATCATGCACTAAAATATTTCTTAAGATAAAGGCTTCTTAGTGATATAGTGTTTCGGTAGGTAAAGAGTCGACTTATCAAACTCCCTTGTCAGGAGTAATATCAATGTTCATTCATTACCAAAACAGTATAGAAAAATAAAAATGAAATGCTATCTAACATTTTTAAAATTACATCACGGTTGTTTTAAAAAGATATCCCGGAAAATTATTAAACCAGCCATGTTTTAACTGTCCCTTTTACAAACTGTCGACATATCGGACATTTCCTCATGGCCGGAGCACAGTCTGGACAACAGCAGAGGTGACCACAAGGTAACATGGCGATAGATGCCTCGTTCTCAAGACAGATTTTACATAGCCGTAGATCCTTTAGTTTTCTGTTTTCTTCAATGAGTGACCTTGTCTCTAAATTGTAAAAAAAAGAATACAATAAAATTTCCGAGGAATGATATGGGAATTTAAAAATAAAGATTTAAATGAATAGATTAAAGTCTTTCACATTTTGTCTTCATTACATGATTACAATCAGTGATCAGTACTATACCTTCAACTGACATGGACGCCAAAGACTGGCTAACACTGTTCAGATCTCTTTGGTTTTGCGTATGAAAATCTACAAAGCATATTATTTTTTTTCTATTTGAGTTTCTAATTTATGTCTACAATGAACAAATTTCTCAACCATGTTTAGAATTGAATAGTTATATTTTTATCTACTCACCACTTCCTTCATTCATTTCTTCAGAGTCCATAGCTTTGCAAGTGTCTGTTTTAAGTTGTTTTGACTTCCCTGCGTTTGTTAATTTTTCTTCCAAGCCTCCTGATGCAGACGGCGGTAACGTGTCTTCTCCAGTTGTCTCTTCTTCAGCTAAAACTATTTCTAGAATTTCTTCAGCCTTTATATCTATCGATTCTGAAATTTTAATGTCATAAACCTAATAATAAGGGTGATTATGAGAAAATTAGAATTTTACACCTTTTATATCGCATTGTTATTTGTCTGTATCTTACTGTGTTTTCATTTACTTTAAAGAGGATTATTTCGTCCCTTTTTATTTTTGCCCTTTCACGATTTTGCCTATACACAGTTGTATTAAGAGATAACTCTTGTCGACTTTGAATTCGCCCCGTTTTAAATTCGCCCACATTCAAAAAGAATAACAGGGGTTAAATATAACGGGGTCAAAAAATACTCCTTATACTGTAAACAGTATCAATACTGTGTCTACCTTTCGTTTCTTTCAGGAGATCAAACGCTTTTTGAATAGTCGGAGATGAGTAACCCATTTCAAGCAGACTTTGAAAACCTGGGTGTGTTGTAACGCATTGCGCAGAATTCTGGGCTTGACTGGTTATGTTTTCATTTGCTAGGTCGTCGTTTTGACCATTCATTTCTCCAAATGCCTCCTAGAAATCAAAAATTTTACCGGATCATGCAAAATTAAAATCACAACAAAAATGCATGGATAAAAAACATATAGCACCATTTCCGAAAAATACGTACTTCTTGGTGTTCAATTCGCACCAACGCAACAAATTCGTCCCCTTTATTCTGTCTCAGAAAAGCACACTTCGGAAACCATCTGGCGTGTTCTGTCCAAGGATCGTCGCCAGGTTCCCAGTTTCGTAATCCTCCTCCACAAAAGAAACATCGGGTATAATCTCCATAGCCTGCATAAAGAAATCCAGCAATGGCTAGGTCTCTAGGAGTCTGTGTGATACTTGAAGGCCAGTCTGTAAAGGAACTAATTCTTACTGCTAATACTGCGTAAGAAGGATACTTCGGGCGGTCAAAGTTAATACCTAGCGGATCTAGGTCTCGAATGAATGCATTTATTTTTTCTTGTTGGGCTCTAGCTTTCGTGAGCTGATCACTTGGTGATCTATTGGAAGAATGACTTTGTAGGCAATCTCTTACGTTTCTGGATATACCTTCATTTTTGACTGAAGCTTCGGATTCAATATGTGATCCATTACTAAACGGTCCAATTATTTCTTGCTGACCTTCATTTTGGCTCACACTATTTTCGTCACTGCCATTTACTTCACTCCCTCCAATTTGAATATTACTTGTAGAATTTGAATTAAGAAGCGGACAGTTTGGCAAGGCAGCTCTGTGAATAGTTTCAACATCATCCTCTTTTTTCCAATCATTTTTTCTAAATCCACAAGCGAAACATATAACAGTGTCTTCTTCCCTTGAATAATAAAAACCCTGACGAGCAAGTTTCACCGTTGATACTGAGCTGGAGGATGGGAAATTGTGAAATGAACCCAATCTTACAAATTCTAAATTCAATGAATGGCAATAGGTTTCTTGGTCATTGCTACCCTGATTTTCATTTATTTCTCTTTCTACAAATTCGTCAAGATTTCTAGAAGCCCCATACAACGGGAAAACCTGAATAAATTCATTCCTTATTTGAGGTAATCCAAGCAGAATAAACTTTAGATCTTCCTTAAAATCCGAGTATCTGCCTTTTTTGTCAAAACCAAGATATATTTTATTCTGATAATGCTTTGAACAATACTGATGGTCAAATTTCCTAATATTTTCTTTGATTTTATCTATAATGTTGGAATATCTTATTGTAATTGGATTAGTCCTAAGATATTTTCTGTAAATCTCATTGACTATTTTATTACTTTTCCTAGAATGATACGAAGGTAAATGCCTTCCTGGGATATCTTTCTCTATACGACATTTCTCCAAATTTAACTGTGAATGTTTTTCATGGATCTTTTGGCTTTTCTTTTTCCTAGCAAATAAATCAAATTTTGAAGGGCAAAACACTTTGTATTTCTTTCTCTTAACCTTTCGAAATACTCCTTTACTTTCCTTGTGTAAAGCAGTTGGTGGAACTCTTTTAAAGTTGTTTTCAATCTTACTTACAATTGCTTCTATGCTCTGTACATTTTTCCAAAGAAGCGAACTGTGGTATATATATGATTGGTGTGGTTTATCCTCTTCTCTTCTTGAAAGCTTTGGGAAAATATTTCTCCTGCAAGCAACAAATCGTTCTCTTTTTGATTCATGTGATACTTTGCCACCTCTGCAGTACACTACGCTAAGATTAGTTCCTTCAGAATCCTTTCTATTGCCCCCATCTTGATTAACACTGGATGAAATATCAACTTTCCTGATATTTTTAAGACATTGTTTGCCAGCACATCTGTTGTCACTGATTGTGTTCCTGTGACATTCATGATTTTTACTGATGTCTTCATCTGACCCCAACTCGACCTTCAGCTGACGCCTTCTTCCTGACCTTGACCCTATCTCTTCCTCGTAACTCATCTATTTCTACGTGATTTCGCCTTTCTTTGATCTTGTAGATAGTTGTCTAAATTAAATGCATCGTGTTAATAATTTAAGAATTGCTGGAAAAAATTATCTTGTCAACATTAACTAAATATTGCATACATTACCTTGGAATTTATTCTCGGACGACCATAAAAGAATGACATGGTTCTCTTCTTAAAAAGTAATCATATTATCTCTGCAGAAAAGGTTCATTTTCGTCTATAAAAGAAAAAGTAGGTGAATTAATGATATGTCATATAATTATTATGTCTTTTTCCTTATTTCGGAAAGATATTTTCTGCGCCTGACGCGATTTATTTAGAAAGCACAGTTTTTTTTATACTTTGTTATCGTCCTTACAATAGAATGATAGGGAGAGGTTGAGAAGTTTGGAAAATACATATTTGTACATTAAGACAAGCGAGGAATATATTCTGCACAATGAAATATGAAGAAAACGAACAGTAATAAAGTTAAAAAGTCCATTGAAACAATTCAAATTGGGAGCAGAGCAAACATACATATAGACCTCTAAAATAATCAGAGGTTGGACCAGGTGCCCTGAAGGAGTAAGCATCACCTGTCAATCGGTCACACCCACTGTGTGCTCCTTGTCATAGTAAGACAAATTGAAAACTCCGTAGACAATTCAGTGTGAAAATAATGGCCTAACAATTTGTTTGAAAAAAGTCAGTAAACTTTCGATTTAACGACATATTCTATTTGCTGACAAAGTCATTGTATCCACCATAGACTTTTTCGAAAATATGAATATCCTTGTACCATCAAGAGAAGGCACACCACAATCTTAATTATATTTTGAAAATAATAAAGAGTCAGTATGAAAATTTCCCCGGAAGATTTTTTTAGCAATAAATTAAAAAAAAACATATATTTCGTTAAGGAAGTCATAAATATTTTGTTTAGATTATTGCTACTATTTCTTATAAGCACTTCCTTTCTTTAATTAATTGAATGTTATTCAATTTACCTATTTCTATATATTTTATTACTGTACTGTAAGTGCTGTCATTTACACGTTTTTGAGATTGTTAGGAGATATCTGGATACCAAGGAGTATTCCATTGCACAGATATTGTTTACGGAATTCCTTCCCTGTTTCTATTTATTGCTATTTATTTGTACTCTTGATACACTCTCAAAACCCAGTGTAAAAGGCATATAGATTAAAACATTTAATATAACTGAAATCTCTACATAAATAAAATTTACACTGGAAAGTACCAATTTAAAAAAAAATATGTTATGTTAGTTATAAAAGTTTTACTGAGTTTAAAATATACCAATTTACTCAAACATGTAATATTAGTTATACCTACTTTACAGCGTACACTCCTGTTACAAAATACACACTTTCACAGTGAGTATACTTGGCAATTTATATGTAACAGATGACGTGTCCATGGATTATTAATATCTTGGTAGTAAATAGGTTTTTTTAGAGCATATGTTCTAGCGTACCAATAGAGAGACGTGCTTTTTTTTTGTATTAAAAGTGTAAGTCTGTCTGTTATACTGTTCTACTATTTTAATATGACCATAGAACTCAAATAAAATACCCATATCGTATCATCAAAAGAACTTTTTTTTTACTTATATTCTTAGATCTACCAAATTTAAATAGAAAAGAGTAAAACGTCCAAGTGTTTTATGCTAATTTATAATACATTTTACAAACAATATTGGGAGGCTGGATAGTAATAAAAGAATTGAGTTTTATATCATTATATAATGATCAATGCAATTACATTTCTAAAAGTACTTTAAATAGGCTTAAATGATAATCTACGTGTACGTGGATTCGTATCAATCAATATGCAATCCTCATTAAAAAAAAGTTTAAATAAAGCACACAATGCCCCTAGTGGTAACGTATTGATTACTTCAATCCACACAGTAACATATTGCGAGTTCTTTTTTTTTTTTAATAATTGAAAGTCCCGATTTCAGCAAACGAACCCCTTAATAAAAGTTTAAAACAATTTATTTGGTTTGACAATACCTTTGAAAGATATATAATTGTTACATTAGATCGCTCTAAAATCTGGAACTTATACTTACTTTATCATTTTCTAAAAGTCTCATTGATTATTCCTCACACTGTATACATAAATTTAAAAATCATATCTAGTTTATAGATAAAAATGAGGAAGTGTATGTTCTTACAGGGGGAGGTTGGGAAAACTTGATAGCTATATTTTTAAATATCTATATATAAAATATTTAGATAGTTTAAATACACATGTATCTTAAAACATAAGTAATTCGTAAAATCACTTCATTAAGATATCCTTCTTGACATGAACAAGTAATTAAAATTTTGACATCGGCATAACAGGATTAGCTAAAGACACGTTTCAAATAGTAGTAACTAGTGTATATGATGGATTTATTTTAGCATATAATTGTTTTATCTCGCAATATTTTGTGGCAGTCACAAAAAATTATGAGAAATAAAATTTATAATGGGATATATTGCAGATAAAAATTCAAGATTAAATTATACAGTTTACCTTTATATAAGATGTCTTTAGACAATTGCCATTCTGTATATTCCTTATCCTTTTCAATAATTTAGAGAAACAACA